TAAAATATTTGATATTAATTAGCAATACAATATAAACAGTATGTTGCCGATCACAATTTATGTTCAGTAAGGTTTTAAATTATAATTACATCATTCAAGGCCTTAGATTTAATTTACCACCTGATTAATAAAAAATAAAGTATATTTTTAAACATACTTCTATTTTAAAATAAACTATTTTGCGAAAGATACGTTGATTTCAGTGGGAGTTTGCGATTGAATGCCAACGAATCGAGGCAGACCAAGCTGATTTTCATAATCTCCGAGGTATTCATGTATTTATAAATCTGAATTTTTATAAATCTTATACCTTCAAACGAGCAATTCTTGTATATTAATATATATGTATATAAACTGAATCTCGGAAACGGCTCCAACGGTTTTCATAAAATTTTGTATACAGGGGATTTCGGGGGCGATAAATCGATCTAGCTACGGTTTATTTTCAGAAAATGTTGTTTTATTCGTGTTTTCAATAATCAACTCTTCCCGACATCTATCGGCGAATAATAATACTATTTTTTTTAATTGAGGGCAACTAACCGCTTTAAAGACACAACAAGATGGCGTTATAAAAAAAAAAACGAGCAAAGCTCGGTCATCATCTAGTTATTTATAACTATTGAACGCAGCCTTGCTCCATTACAACTACCTCAAATTTTTGTATGTATGTATATAAATTATACGCATATCATTGTGGTAATAGAGTTCTTCTGTATATGACCTCAAGCACGGGCTCGACGAGTAACTTAACCCACAGACACAGCCCACTGAGTTTCTCGCCGGATCTTCTCAGTGTGTCGCGTTTCCGACCCGGTGGTAGATTCTGCGAAGCACGGCTCCTGCTAGGGTTCGTGTTAGCAACGTCGTCAGGTTTGAGCCCCGTGAGCTCACCTACAAGTTAAGGTTACGCTGATATAGCCTCACAAGGCTATCAGCTTAAATAGGAAAAAAAAACTGTATATGGTAGTGCCTACAAAAGTGTTTATTGTTTCGGTCGAATATCTAAGAACACATAAAATACAAATATACTAGGAAACTTATTTTAATTTTATAATTAGTCGTAATCGTGAAATCTTATCACCAATTTAAATGCGTGAAAATTTTTTCGTGAATTATTGTAATTTTGGCTTTTAATAATAATAGGTTTATTACGCAATCTCTTTAGCGCAATCGAAGGGAACACAAGACAAGTTTTGACACCCTCGCCACTCGAGTGATTTAAATTGGGTCGACAGCCGCTCGAGCCAGAAAGTTAACGGTTTTGTTATGTATGATTTATGTTGGGCTAAACAACTTACAACACTATCGGGTCCTTTGATTAAGTCGTTGACTTTTGGGAATTAGATAAATTAAATCTTGTTTTGTGAACTTAATTGTAGGAAATATCAGCCCAGAAACGAGAACAGTTCTTGTTAGGGCCAACATGTTTTTTACAAAGCAAGACTCATTAAGGAAGTTCGGCCAATAACTTAGAATTGCAAAGGCCATAGTTGCCACTGAGGCACCTTAAAGGAATGATTGGTATATAAGTACATAAAATATTATGACAGTTGAATGATTGATTATTTTGGCTATTAGAAAAACGACAAATTTTTATTTATTTTATTTATTGCTTAGTTAGCTTTATTGATTTTTTATTGATTAGGGTGGACGAGCTCACAGCCCACCTGGTGTTAAGCGGTTACTGGAGCCCATAGACGTCTACAACGTAAATGCGCCACCCACCTTGAGATATAAGTTCTAAGATCTCGAGTATAGTTACAACGACTGCCCCACCCTTCAAACCGAAACGCATTACTGCTTCACGGCAGAAATGGCAGGGTTGTGGTACCTACCCGTGCGGACTCACAAGAGGTCCTACCACCAGTAATTATGCAAATTATAATTTTGCGGGTTTGATTTTTAACTTGTCACCTTTAGGCCATGACGACTTAATGAATAAATGAATAAAAATAGAACACTGAAACATTTACGATTAAGCTTATTATTATTATACATGATAAAAAATATGACAAAAGGTAAGCAGAGTTTAATTATATAGTTCAAAGTGAAGAGCTGACTTTCGAATAAACATTTTACTATACATTACTAGGCGGAAACACTCGGGTAGTCGCACTTCATTACACCTTAATGTATTTAAGAGTGTTTAAGCTAAAGATAAATAATTTCCGTTAAACTCGAGAAGTTGTTTTAATTGAATTATCATACCATTATACACATCACACCATATCATATCATATCATTTAATAATATTCATACGGGTGAACGAATCTACTGAACCCTATAGACAGCTTAAAGTGAAAACTGTCACTCATCATGAAACACAAGGTCGAATATTCGATTGCTATAACTTTTAGAGCTGTTCCACGCCTGATACCGGAACTCTTGACACGCAAGTTCAGACTCACATCAAGCTCAACCTGGGCGGGTGAAATTTATTTTTCAAACCGCTTTTATTAGCTTGGTATGTGTATATCTTTGTTTCTATGTAGCGGAGTCTTTGAACCTGATTGTCATTTAAAAACATCGGGTTGAATTGAAATTTCGCAGCTTACCCCACACTTTTACGAGAAACTGATTTTTTAGATTTTTTTTATTAGGAATTCCAATTTTTTTTAAATATTCTAATAATTTTTTTTTATACTAGATGTGTATATGAAATCACGGTCCATCTGGTATTGAGTGGTTACCAAAGTATATAGACATAGAAAAATGATCTAACCACCTTGAAAGATGAAGTTGAAATCTCAATTGTATCGTATAACAGCTGCTGTGGATAAAATAGGATATTGGATTTTTTTTGGATTTTTTTTTTGGTTTCACTGTTGTTAGAGGAAATTATATTGAACACTACTCAGCGATCCAAGCTATAGCTGTCAGTTTTATAAAAAAAACAATTCGGAAGTTGTTGGTTTTTTATTATTTTTCATATACCTATATATATTTTGTACCGTTTTAAGGACACGTTGAATGCTTCTAATGAAATATATTTTCTTTCACAAATTTTGTGTAGAATATTTAATAAGCACTGCGTGTAATGAAGACAAAGCCGTTTCAAACTTGATTCGAGTAATTAAGACATTTGACTGCAAAAAAGTTCAAATAAATCACTTTATATTTTATTAGAAGCTACCGAAAACGGACATCTGGTTCGTTATTAAAACAAGAGTTAATTATTCCTGAATTAAAGGTAAGAAAACAAGTCGGACGACAACGAGCTTCCCTTTAAATAATTCAAAATATTTCCTCTGTAAGCTTTACTCGTATTTTGATATTTTTACTTTGATCTTGACAATAACGTTTTATTTGGTCCATCACAATTCTGTGCCTGTTTCGTCCATAACAAATTGTTATTAACCAAAAAAAATGTATGGGTCTTTAACACCGTTTAGATGCTGGATATGCTCATATTACACTTAACACGTAGTATGTAACACGTAGGCTACAAACTCTCCATGTTTTAATATCAGTGAAACTAATATCAGAAAATCAACTTCTTTTGCATTTGTTTCTTTTTATTTATTTTTTATTGCAGCAATGCCAGGGGCAGAGCCAAGCCGCTGCCGCTGCCGTTGTCTCCGCAGTTAACCCACATGAGTTTAACTACGTATCTTCGCTCGTGCTTACAGAAGTAATGCTAAAAAAGCTATTACATATAGCCAAAAGATTTTAAAGGCCTCTTGTAAAAGACATAATATAGTTTCGGGAAACAGGCTCGAATAGAGTTCATTTCTGAAACTTAGGTTCTGAAACTTTTTACTGGTGGTAGGACCTCTTGTGAGTCCGCGCGGGTAGGTATCACCACCCTGCCTATTTCTGCCGTGAAGCAGTAATGCGTTTCGGTTTGAAGGGTAGGGTAGCCGTTGTAACTATACTTGAGACCTTAGAACTTATATCTCAAGGTGGGTGGCGCATTTACGTTGTAGATGCCTATGGACTCCAGTAACCACTTAACACCAGGTGTGAGCTCGTCCACCCATCTAAGCAATAAAAAATAAAAAAAAACTTAGATGTAAACTCTTGGTGTGACACTTTTATTTCCGCTATATTCGACTTTCACATTTTATTTTCACTTTCACTACCACCAATAATTATTATTATGCTAAAAAACCAACCAACCAACACAATTGTTATTATACAAAAAAAAAACAAGTATTTAATTTTATTAACACATTTATTTAATTTTGTACATATTTCCTGGTTATGTGATTTCTTTTAAATCCAATGGAAGAGTTTTAATGTACATTATGTACAAAATTTGGCAACAACCTTGAGCATTTCTACTTTATAATATATTATTCACATTTATTCAGATGTAAATTGCCTTACAATTAATTTCATACAATATTTATTGTTGGCTAACTTTTAAATATTATACATATTTTATTGGCTTCAAAGTCAGTAACCAAACTTGTAACCAAAGAGCCAAAGGACAATAGCATCGGCTAGTAAAGCGTTGCCTTTGACATTTCAAGGTATATTGTAGATTTAAATCTTTTTAATTTTCACGAAATCCTCACAGCAGTATATTGCATTATAATCATATAAAAGGTCTCACATAGCGTTAAATATAATATTTGTTTTAAGAACACATACTTAATATGTGATGTCAATAAAACTAAATTAAATTATAACTCCGACCTTTTGGCTTTATAATTAATGACTAATCGAAACTACTCAAACACCATAATTGACGTTATAAAACATTGGCACAAATATAATTGCGTTAACTTGTCACCTTAAATTATCAATCCTATTCAGTAAATATTGCTATAATTAATTATCTCTTACAACAACTTTTACGACACATATTTAAAATTGGATTTAATAGGTACATACTTGTTCTATTGGAAAATAAGATGAAATATCGAATACAAAAAAAATAATCCAACAACTAATAAATTTCAAATGCACTTCTTCAATGAAAAAAAAAAAACATTTACTGGTAGGTACTGCAAATTCGTTGCTATAGTAATATGCCTTAAAAGCTATTTCATCTAAATGGGTGGTTTGAGAGGTGTGTTGCCGACGTGTAGGTTGTTCAACTGTGGGAGTAAGATGGCCGCCGTAGCTATGGTTGTGACTAGAACAAATACTGCCAGCAGGGCTCGGTCTGCTACCACTGCCACCTGTATTTTAATATTTATTAGACAACGTTATTCTTTTTCTGTTGTTGCCAAAGACTTGACATTACAATCTACGTTATGCTGATGTCTATGAAGGATAGTAACTGTTCAACCTCTTTTTTTTATTGCTTAGGTGGGTGGACGAGCTCACAATCCACGTGGTTACTGGAGTCCATATACATCTACAACGTAAATGCGCCACTCACCTTGAAATAAGTTCGAAGGTCTCAGTATAGTTACAACGGCTGCCCCACCCTTCAAACCGAAACGCATTACTGCTTCACGGCGAAAATAGGCAGGGTGGTGGTACCTACTCGTGCGGACTCACAAGAGGTCCTACCACCAGTAATTACGCAAATTATAATTTTGCGGGTTTCATTTTTATTACACGATGTTATTCCTTCACCGTGGAAGTCAATCGTGAACATTTGTTGAGTACGTATTACATTAGAAAAATAGGTACCCGCCTGGGATTCCAACACTGACGCATCACTCAACACGAATGCACCGGACGTCTTATCCTTTAGGAACCAGTGAAAGATGCTTGTCTGTCGTCGCCTGTAAATGAATAAGAAATACCTGTTTCCATTCTAAATTGGCTCGCTCGAGTCTTTCATTGGCGGCGACTCGTTGTTCATGTCTTGCTGCGGCCTCTCGCAGCGTGCAACCGCAGCAAACGCACCGGGCGCAGGAGGCGACACAGACTGGCTCACTGCTTGTTGTGCTAGCCCCCCCAACTGTGGCAGCTGCCCCAGCTTGTTGATATAATAGCAAAACAATTGTTTTACTCAAACAAATACATCGAGCTGACGATCTCGCTGAAGATGAGCGTAACCTTCCATGAATCTTCATGTTTGACGATCAATCGGCTTTTTTAGTTTCGGCGCTTTAAGAATTTATTTTGTTTCACACTGATAAGATAACATTTTCACGACCGCATTTTCATTCTCCATTTTATTGTAAACACATTCAGAGAGATCGCACCATATTGATCATTATTTTTAATTTTGTTGATTCGACGGGCGTCCGAATTTCCTTCAGACATGAGTTCTAAGTTCGACTTCAAACTTCAAACTGGAACGAAATACTGCTTCGCGGCAGAAATCGACAGGATCGTAGTACGTACCCGTGCCGACTTACAAGACGTCCTACCACCGGTATATACGGAAATAAAAATGTTGGCGTCCTTGATTTGTATAACACGCTGTTATCCCTACAGCAGCGCTATGTAGACAACTGATATTAATTGTGAGATATAATTGAGATTTTTCATCATTCATGCCGTGTGTTTATCTGGGGTATATCTGTGTGTCTATCTTCATTTGGGGTATTTAAAAGCTTACCTAGATGATTTTGATTGTGGCGCACAAATCTGGGTGAGGCTGGAGTCAGTGGTACTCCATCGCAACGAACTTCTGCCTTCAACCGCGAACCTGTGCGAGGGTTCACTGGCACACTGCTCTGTGCCCTGCTTTCACCCTAAGAAATTAAATAATATACAATTGACCAAAACTGCGACCAAATCCTGCGACTTTTTTATTTATTTATTTTTTATTGCCTTTGTAGGCAGACGGGCGTACGGCCCACCTGATGGTGAGTGGTTACCGTCGCCCATGGACTTCAGCAATGCCAGGGGCAGAGCCAAGCCGCTGCCTACCAAACTGCGACTAATGATCTTACGACACTGTGATACAGCAATTTTATGATACTCGTCGTACCAATATAAAAAAGTTGAAAAGAACTCTGGCGATACAGGAATAATGTCTTTTTACTGCAGCAAAAAAAATAGAGTAGTTTGAAATTACATATATTTTTTATCAATTTCACAAAAGATTTTTGTTACAATAAAATTCTTAAAAATTATTTTAGTCACCATTTCAGGTTAGTTAAATCGGTAGAGTGAAAATTAATTTAATTAAAAACTCTACTGATAATTGAAGACCAATATTGTTAAATAAATACAAAACGAACTTTTTAACACGAAAGCCAAATGAAAGGAAACGTATTTTTGTATTCATAAAAAAGATTATTTTTACTCTGGAAGCACTTTCTAACATTTTAGTAATAAATCATTCTCACTGCGAACTCTTATAACATCGTATTTCGTTGTACCACAGAATTATTCCCTAAATGTGTTACGAGTGACATATGTCACACTGTCACACATATGAAAATCCTTATGAAAACACAAATTTACATGTTGTCTTGATTGACGACCGTACTAAAGTTATGACAACGATAAGATTAGCTTAATTTAATATATTAACTTTATTTTATAATTAATTAAATATAGTAGTTACAATATACATATGTATACATGTGTATATTCCATAAATAAAAAAATATATAATAGTTTTATTATATTATATATATATATGAAATATCTAAAAATGAATTGCTGTTCGTTAGTCTCGCTAAAACTCGAGAACGGCTGGACCGATTTGGCTAATTTTGGTCTTGAATTATTTGTAAAAGTCCAGAAAAGGTTTAAAAGTTAGATAAATATGAAAATGCTCAGAATTAAATAAAAATAACAATTTTGTTTTTCCTTTAATGTGTCCCCCATCGGACGGATTCCTTTTGTTTGTTTTAAGTTTATTTTATACAAAATTTTAGGTCTTTTATTTATCTATTGAGGCACTACGAAGTCTGCCGGGTCAGCTAGTATGAAATAAAAGTTTAGTTAATCGCAAATAAACATTTCAATGATGTTATTATTACAATAGTGGCTGGGCGACCTAAGAATGAATTTGCTCTCCGTACTTCACCTCACTTTTGGACCTCAAGAGCCGTGAAATCTTTTTCAAAACCATTGAGACGGCAGTACGTTTCCACTCGATTGAAGAAAAAAAAAACTTCCTTCATCGCACGCTCATCTTCCAATTCCAGATGACCGAGTCAGCGCAAGAATGAACACATCATCCCATTTTTATTCGGCTCTAACAAAAGCTCCCAAAGGACGCAATTACTTTCATCAAATTACTGAAGTTAAGATTAACGATGTACGTTCACAATCTATACTCGAGAGCAATGAATGCGGGTCACCTAAAGGAAACTATAAATCTTGGAAATTAAGAATGGTAGCTTAATATAATAAACGATGTTTAATAGACAATATAAATACCCCTTAAATGAAAGTAATAAATTTTATATTATAAGTCATTACATTTTATTTATTAAAAATTTTACTGGTTTTTTACTGGTGGTAGGACCTCTTGTGAGTCCGCGCTGGTAGGTACCACCGCCCTGCCTATTTCTGCCGTGAAGCAGTAATGCGCTTCGGTTCGAAGGGTGGGGCAGCCGTTGTAACTATACTGAGATCTTAGAACTTATATCTCAAGGTGGGTGGCGCATTTACGTTGTAGATGTCCATGGGCTCCAGTAACCACTTTACACCAGGTGGGCTGTGAGCTCGTCCACCCATCTAAGCAATAAAATAAAATAAAATATTACACAAAAAAAAATGCTGATCTCGCCTTAAAACAAAATTGGAAACATGACATTTTTGTACAGCGATTTGATTTTCTTGAATTTTAATACTTGCCTTGTAATGCCTCCCCGTGCTTCCAATACTGCGTTTACGTGGCTTGGCATGCTGTACACCAAGTTTCTTATACTATTTTGATAAATTTTCTCCCATTCCTCTGTGAGAGCAATTTTGAGCTAACGAAGCGTGATTGGGGAGGGATTCTTAGTTTCCGAGATTTATAGGTTTTTTTAAGTGACCCGGATTCATTGTTCTCGAGTGTAGTAATATCACGCGTTAGGTTTAGTCTTGAAGGTTGAGATTAGGCACTTACCTCTCAATTTTAATGTCAAATACGATTTCGATATTAAGAATTATAAAATTTAAAGAGCACCTAAAAAGAGGCTTAACAGACGAATGAGAAGTACTTTCAGCATACCATAAGCACATCAGTGAGAACGTGAGTTTTTAAATTCAGTATTTTTTATATTCGGTAAGGTCGTTACAAAAAACCGTCCCTATAATATTCATTATCCAACATCGTAATGTTGAACATCCAGTCAATCTTAGGACTTAAGATTTAACCTTTGAATGTTCGAAAAAGTGTCAACTTAACATTCAAACTCGAACGAAAGAATTATAAATAAGCTCATAAGCCGCAGATTTCTCAAAGTTTAGTACGTAATATTTATCGATTCACGACGAACTTTTAATGGTTACAGCAGATTACCAAATCCAATTCGAAAAGTTGTCACATCTTTTTTTTACTTTGAGAACGTAACTTATGTAAGTTTATTTTATTTAAATTTGTGATTTTCGATTCAAAGATTTGATTTACTAAAATTGTTCCGTACATAAAAGTTTGTAATATATTTTAGAACAGCAACTTAATAATACATTTTCAATGAACATTTTGTCGAATCTACAGCCATAGAGATCCATTCCATCCAGAGATCCATGGCCATCTAGAGCCATTTTGTCGAGCCAAATTACATGAGACGTAAAATCACAAAATTTCGCACTGCACTGGTACGCGATTTTGTGACGTAATAGTTCAGTGAAAAGATTGACATTACGTGAGACGTTATTGTTGATACCACTGTTTCAAGAATAGAAGTCACAATGTTCTCAAACGGAGTTAGTTACCTTTGCGTCAATGTCGAAGTTGATGAACAGAAGGCGCGCGAGTCGATGTAGCACGACGTCACGCACCACCGCCGGTACAGGCTGCCCTCTCACTCCTCTACGAGAAATATATTATATTCAAAATATTACTCTTCAGTACGTAAAGCACTTTTTAATAAATTTTTTTGTTTTTTTTTTGTTGTTGCTTAGATAGGTGGACGATCTCACAGCCCACCTGGTGTTAAGTAGTTACAGGAGCCCATAGACATCTAAAACGTAAATGCGCCACACACCTTGAGATACAAGTTCTAAGGTCTAAGGTCTTCAAACCGAAACGCATTACTGCTTATACGGGTGGACACGGGTGGACAGCCACAGCCTTCGCGAGCTACTTAAACTCCGTTACATAATTAGATAAAGCCTTCTAAATTGTAAATCAGCGCGGCGACTGTGTGGATATATGTTTTTTTTTTTTCATTTAAATACATACCATAAATGAAAACAATATTAAAGGCTGTTCAGAGATAAACCAGTTAAAGGCATTTAAAATTTACGAAGACAACGCAGAGCGCTATATTGAAATTTTATACCAAAAATAGCGCTCCAGGATATAAACAGAAACATTAACGATTTGATTTTTTAAATCCTCATATTACATTTAGTAATACATTATATATGTATGTATGTATTAATCAATTAATAAGCTTAATGTTTTTTTTTATATTGTGTATGTGAATTTTTGTCCCGACCAGGTAAGTTTGGTATAGCCGGTCAGTTCGCTTGGGCATTGGGTTCGCATACATTGGGTCTGGACACACGAATCGCTCCTCAATCGAAGATAGATACAGAACTAGCCCAGCAATATATCTAAGGTCCCGATAAACGAATTGAATTTACTTCTACTTTAAAAACAGCATCATCTTTAAATCACTATGTTTCTATTTTTAAAATCATTCAATATTGTTTCGCCGGTAAGAGTAACGCCATCTATCGCTGAATAATCGAACGAATATCGAAGGATCTACCAACATCTAGAACGCTCGTGAAGTACAATGCCATCTATTGTCAGATAGCGGAAACACAAAATACTAGACTTTTGTGAAATATTCTCGACGATTCTAGGGATTTCGTCTCGACTATAAAAGCGTTGCAGAGATGGCACGCAGTCAGTTAATAATCGGAACTACTCGAAGCGAAACAGCGAACGGATCACCTGAAGCTAAGCGGAAGAAGCGAATTGAGAATTTTAAAGAGCTTGTTTCAAGTATTCTAAGTATTCACTTGTTATTCGGAATAATTTTATTAATCCCGAACCTCAGCGCGTAACAATATGTTTGTTAGAAATGGATATCTAAATATCGCTGTGATTATTACCTATCTGCTGAAGTGTTTTTCTTACATTTTCTAGACTGAGTAGTTTCCTTAAACCAACGTGTTTTATCACCATTTTTGTCTTGCATCGTGAAACATCATATCGAATAACAAACATAATTTTAACCAAGGTTTTAAGTATAATTCTCTTAACCAGATCTGTAGCAATATAACAAAAGGAAAATTGAGGAAATTGACTGTTTCAACCCTTGTTTGTTAACTTGTAGCCAGTAATTAACTCTATTCAGTATAAATGAAGGACGAAATTGATATTACCGAAATATAAATTTCGAGATGAATTTCAATCGGAGCATGCCTTTATTAAAATGAAAACATGATAATGTAATTATTAAAAAATTTCAGCGTTTTCATACATTTCAAGTGGTTTTGTTATTTATTTATTTTCGGCAGGCGGACTCATTTAATTTAAGTGATTATTCCCGGAGTTCGTAGATATGACAACCTGGACACCTCATATTTATTCGAAGTTTTGTATAATATTGTATTTCAATTGTCTCATTCGTCAAACCAAAACGTAGTTGGGGCGATAGCTTAGAATAATGGCACCTTGTATTTGGTTTACCAGCTCTACCACCAGTATTATAAAAGTCATTCTATGCCCCCCTGTAGATATCTAAGGGATCTTAAATTTTCACAAATCAGTTTAAGCTAATCCTCACCGACCTCTAAAATAAAATACCGGGTCGTACCAATTGCGAGATTTTAAAAACATGCAAACCACGCTCTTGACACGAATAAAATCATATGTCACGAGAGACAAAAATGAATTGGTGAGTTTGAATTAACTAGTGGTCGCCCGGTAGTCGAAATTCGATTTTATTTAATTGAATACTTCTATAAGCACAGATTTCGCCAAGACTACACTATAGACAATTAATATTAAAGATAAACAATAATAACCTATTCTCAATTTTACCACAGACTATTTACAATAGCAAAAGTTTGACAAAAGAGCATATGGCCGTTTTCCAATTACAGAGCATAATGCGACTCAGTAACGCACAATGCCGAATTATGCTGAAGCTTAGTTGAGCATTATGCCGCATAATGCGCTCTTGTGCTGTAATTGGAAAACGGCATATATATGCGAGAGTGTGTCAAATACATGGTAATGTTTATAATTTTTTTTATGGTTTAATGTATTATTAATGCATAATTTTTCAAAAATATTAGTATTCTGCACTCCTCCTCTATATTGTCTATAAGTGTGGGAAATTTTATACCCCTCCGTCCGCGCAATTTTCGTAAAAAGGGATACAAAGTTTTAGCTTCACGTATTAATATATAGATAAAAATAATTACTTTATTATTATACACTGTCCGGAAGAGGGTAGAAAGTTTTTGAGCATTTGTCTAATTCCGTGGCACGCTCTATAGCCCAAATCTTTGACGGATACTGACATATTATGTGTCAGTCGTTTCATCACAGTTAGGGTGACGAAGGATAATCATTCAATAAGGTGTCCACGAAAAAAATATAACAATATTTCTTTTGTGCGCGAATCAAAACGTTAAGCGTGGTAAAACAAAGAAATAAAACATATTTGTGTGTAGTTTAACTGATTCTATTTAAAAACCACTGATTGAACGATTGATATGTTCTATAATACTGAGATGTTATTTTAAGGAAGATTTTTGTTTTGAGTTTGTTCTTTTTTTTTGTTGTTGTTGTTGTTTGTTATTCTTTTGTTAATGCACCTACCATGCATTATCTCTGCACCACCCTATGGTCGACTGGAAGAGAATGCCCATGGCATTAAGTCCGCCTGTGTACAAGTTTTATTTTGTGCAAAAAGTATAAATAAATAAATAAATATGTCCTCATATGCGAAACCTTTGGTAACTTAGCTTGTTTTTCGCTTTTTGATTATTATTTTTAAATGCAGACAGCTTTGTATTTCATTTGAAACATATGAAGACGCCTTATGCTGCTTTTCATATTATTATAAAAGTCGCTTTGTCGAATTAAAAATATTTATATCGTTTGGTTCAAATATCGATATACGAATTACGTATTAGCAGCCTGAATAATTAATGAGTCATAAATATTCGTGACGTAGAAGTTGAACACAGCAATTAACGTTAATTTAATGTTTCCAATCAGCAGAAATCTGAATTTTATAATGTGACAGTAGGATATGCGAATAGTTTGTTCGAATTTAACATTTGTTATATACCTTTTTATATCATTTGAAAAACCGAATCAACAGTCGTTTTGGAGAATAATGTGTGCAAATGAAAAATAATATTTACGACTTATTATTATTCGATTCGTTTCTGGAAATGAACAGAAAATAAGATTTTCCTATATATTATTAGGAGCATTTATTTCGGGTAGTTGAATTTACTGAAAATAGTAAGCGACACCTACCGATCCCTATAAAAACAAACGCCCAATCGAGTACTAGGTCATCCGTCGTGGTTAAGCGGCAAAGCCTCCGGGCCAACCGCAATCTTTTCATCCAAAAAAAGAAGTACTCAGGTCATTCTTTGCTCGGTCGGACGGTAAGGCTGTCGAAGCCTACATTCCTCTGTTTCTTTCCACGCCAATTTTATTATTTTCCGTTTTGCCGTTATTCTTGTTTTGAATATCAACTACTATTTGTCTGACCCCAAATTTACACGAAATCACTAAATTATTTGTTGAAATCAAGTTTCTTTTAGTGTATATTATTATTCGCGAATCGTATACATAATCAAATATACTAGAGGTCCCGCAGTAGTCGAAATTCGACTATAATTAATTGGAATTGTAAGTTTGTACACTATTATGATTGTATTTTATACTTCTATAATCACAAATTTCGCCAAGACTACATTATAAAAAATATTAACAAAGACAAACAATATTTAATCTCAATTTGACGAGAACAGACGTCAAGAACAAAAGTTTGACAATAAATAGTATGCATGCGTGTGTGCGTCAAATACATGGTATGTAGTGTGTGTAATGTTTTCTTTATTGATTTAATGTATCTTTTATGCATTATTTTAAAAAAATATTAGCATTGTGCACTTCTTCTCTATATTCTCTATAAGTGTGGAAAATTTCATACTCCTCCGTCCGCGCAATTTTCGTAAAAAGGGATACAAAGTTTTTGCTTCACGTATTAATATATTAGATTTAATCACTAACAACTCTGATCACGAAAGCCGAATGTCGTTAAATCACTACATAGTATAAAACAAAGTCGCTTTCTCTGTCCCTATATCTGTCTGCCCCTATGTATGCTTAAATCTTTAAAACTACGCAATGGATTTTGATTCAGTTTTTTTTTAATAGATAGAGTGATTGAAGAGGAAGGTTTATATGTATAATAACATCCATTAAATAGTGGAGCAATCAATAATAAATTACAGTTTCCGAAGCGAAGCGAGGGCGGGTCGCTAGTAGACAATAAAAGAAAACGGGTTATTAAACCATACAGTTTTTATTATATTTTGAAGTAATCGTAGGTTGCATCGTTTTTTTGTAGTTATTTTCAAATTTCTATTCAGTAAAATTGTATGATTTTCCCTGTATGCGAAACACAACTAAAATGGAACTAACACGGGGAATTCTTCGCCTCGAGAAATTACGAGAGGCGACTGCTTAATGTGTTCGCGCTTAACTTTGGGGTTCCATGAAAACATACACTAGAACGACAAATTGTTATTTTGATAACAAAGCGCTATTTTTGGAATACTCTATGATAGCAGCTAACTAATGTTTGCCTTCATACAAGATCCTTGATCTATAGATAAACACCATAATGAAACACTCGCCTGTAAGATATGTTGAGGGTGACCACGGATAGTGAAGCTGAAAATGAAACTAGGCACGTGCTGACTCCGTAGTACAAACCTGCAAAATAAATTTATGTTTTTCTTTTGTTTAGTAAATTACAAATTCAAGAATGTTACAGCCATAAATAAAATTAATTGCATTAAAATGTAAAAATAACACATCCTAAAGCTAATAACAAGATTCTACAGCTAGAGAAGCTGAATAAAAAAAGTGTTGAAATGAAAAAAGTTCTACCACAGCGTTTTAATTCTAAACAGATTGTAATTTTTAACAAATCGCTTAGAACCTACAGCACTGTCCTACTAGTTCGCGAGAAACATTGTAGCTTTAAATATTTAAATCGAAATAAATTTAATAAAAACACTTTCTATTACATCTCGGCGTTATGTTACGTATTTTTCTAATTGCAAAATAATAACATAATCTTACTTATAAGCGGAGTCTTTTCAGTTGGCGGTAATGTATCTCTAATTGTCATCAGGAAGACGGTCATGGATAATAATGCGCTTATCCCCAATGTCACTTTTTCTCCGGATTCCGACGGCACGTAGAAAACAAGGAGTGCTTCAAAATTAATGAGCTTTTAATTGCTTTGATCATACTTACAATTCATACATAGGTACTAGCTCGCAATTATTATAGAGAGTATTATTATTCCAAAGCTTGATGTTTCTATGGGCTTTACCCGATAACANTTATAAGCGGAGTCTTTTCAGTTGGCGGTAATGTATCTCTAATTGTCATCAGGAAGACGGTCATGGATAATAATGCGCTTATCCCCAATGTCACTTTTTCTCCGGATTCCGACGGCACGTAGAAAACAAGGAGTGCTTCAAAATTAATGAGCTTTTAATTGCTTTGATCATACTTACAATTCATACATAGGTACTAGCTCGCAATTATTATAGAGAGTATTATTATTCCAAAGCTTGATGTTTCTATGGGCTTTACCCGATAATATAATTTAATAAAGGAACACTGTAAGGTGATAGTAATTAAGTATTAGACATAATTAAAACTACTTTACGTATAAATCTGTTTTTTTAATTAACATACAACTATTTCCGACGTTTGACGTTAATTATCGACACATCGGAAATGATATAAATGCATACACAAAAAAAAAATTAAATGAAAAAAATATATATACAAATAAAAAAGCGGGTTTTAACTTTATAAGTAGTTTTAAATATTACCTACAGTGAGCTAACAAATTGTTAAAAAAAAACCATCAGAGTTATTAACCATTTCGTATAAATGTCACTTAAATTTTCGAAAACATTGGTAATGTACACAAAAGCTGTCAGCTGCTTAAACTAAACTCGATAACGGTGGATCGCTTGTTTCCACCGAGCCCTTGAAAGGTTAGGCCTTTAAACGCTAACAGGGTCTCGTTAAGTTTCGAAAGAAAGATTGTTTAACTTGTAATTTTATCGAGATGAAAATTTACGAAAATCACGTTCCTTTCTTGTCTATTGTTTGTATAGTCGTTATTAAAAGCGGTTCCCCGAATTGGACGTGCGAATTTAATGGTAAAGAATGGTTGATGGCTTGGAACCAGACGATTTTTTGTTTTTCAAAACACCTTTTTAATTCTCATTCGGTTTTCATGTAAGGGCCCTTATTTCTTCCCCGAAGTTTGATAGTTGATTTTGATTAATATCAGCTACTGAATTATCATTTTCTTTAATATAATCTCCAAAACGTACATATTCATAAAAAAAATCCAATTCAAAGCCGGTCTCATAAAAAAACACAAAGACAACTTGATGTCTCTTCAGATTAAGAAATTCCTCACATATTCCAACGCACATATTGTGGGCAAAGTATATTTACTTAATACTGTCATTGTACTTGAACAAATGGATAAAGATTTCTTCTTTTTGTTCACACCCGAAACTGGATAGTAACTAGATCATCTCTTTTCTGGATTATTGTCACCAAAGGAGGATGTAATCATAGGAACCATTCCATAGAATCAAATGGATATTGTAAAATAAATAATACCAGGATGTCCTAAGGAATATTACATTTTTGTTATGTAAGCCATAGGCAATACATTAGAGTACAGTAAAATAAGTTTTATTTGTACATAACAGTAAAAAAAACAACATTAAATACAAAAATAGACTTGTACAGACCGAGTCTTTGTCGACTGATACAGAAGGCCTTAAGCATTAAGTGCACCAATGTAATTTTGTGCATAAAGTTACATAAATAAATATAAAGTACAATAGTACGGATCTTAGCGCTAAGAGTAATCATTTTTCAAAGAACCATCAGATTGACAAGCATCATTTAAGGACAGGTATCTTTACTAATCTATACTAATATTATAAAGAGGAAAGGTTTGTTTGTTTGTTTGTTTCGAATAGGCTCCGAAACTACTGGACCGATTTGAAAAATTCTTTTTCCATTAGAAGCCGACATTGTCCCTGATGAACATAGGCTACTTTTTTTAATTTTATTTTTTTATTTTTTTGGTTTCATGTGTGTTTTAATGTTTCCGAAGCGAAGCGAGGGCGGGTCGCTAGTAATATTATAAAGAGGAAAGATTTGTTTGTTTGTATTGAATAGGCTGCGAAACTACTAAACCGATTTGAAAAATTCTTTCACTGTTTGGAAGCTACACTATTCCCGAGTGACATAGGCTATAACGTTTTTCGAAAAAAATTTTGGATCCTTACTAAAACTCCAATAATGTAACCCAAGGTGTAAAAAAATTACCTAAAATATTCTTTAAATCGCGTGCCCTGTGAAAACCATTGATGATAGAATAAAATAATATACTACGGCTTTGTAGAACACATTATTATTTACAAAAAGTGTCGCGACAGCATATGTCTAACTATTATAGTTATGCCACAATAAGCGTTCTTTTATTTAAAAAAAATAAAACAACGTCAAATATCGTTGAAATTTTTGTTAAAGACCCGAGCGAAGCCGGAGCGGGCCGCTTGTTATATAATAAGAGTATTAGTAATGAAAAAAATGTTGATTACTTACCAATTCCGTTGATGAGTAAACATGGGAGAATAAGGTTGAACACGTAGAACATCGGTCTCCTACGTAACTTAATTACATACGTTATATCAGGGTAGGGTTCAACGCAGCAAGAGTAGTACTGATCATGTCTGATAGCCTCGAAGCTGACCAAATCAAATTCACCGTTGGTTTGATAGTTGGTAGTATCACCTTCGTCGAATTGCTTTTTTAAATCCAACTAGGAATGAAAAAAAAAACACTTGTTATTCTGGGTTACCCCATTCGACAATCGTATACCACATGGTTATTTCATGCCTAAATAATTATGTATGTTATGTTTAAAAAATGGTCATAAAATGAAGTTTATTTAAATTTCCTTGTTCAGGATCAGCTTTATTAGAGCTGTATAAATTTCTAGATTCGACACACAAAAAAAAACTTTATAACGACTAACCAAAATATCAGCATTAATGAAATTATGTTTGTGAACATAGTCGTGTTGTACAACGTTGCGTGAAAGAAATCAAAGAGGACTTTAGTCCAGAAGAGTAGGTAGTACCGCCATTATGTCTATTTCCAGGTTGGATGACCAGGCAGAGACAGACGTTATACAATGCAATTAAGTTTTCGACCTCATTTCGACATCTAAGAGTGAGTGGCGTTTATGTTATGATGTATACACGCCCGGTAACCACTTTACATCAGGTGAGTCGTGAGCTTGTTAATCTACCTAATCAATAAAATAAAAACCAAAATGTGAAAACCTAAACGAATTCGTAGCTTTGCTTAGTGCCTAAGAGAAAACTCATACAGTTTCTAGCTGTTTACAGCATTAATTAAATTTGCACAACAAAAAACCATTCCTCAAAAAAAAACATTTCATAGAAAAAAAAATACACTTTTCCAACAAGGACACCTATGAGTCCTTTGAGGAAAAACATGTAACGGACGCGCTGCAAAGGGGTTTTTAACGTGACATTTAAATATGTGCATTTAAAACGGAAAAACGAAACGCGCAAGTAAGCTTTAACTCGCTTAAAGCTTTTTGTTCACACGAGCGTCTATCCTCCGCCTACACGTAGTTTTACCTTAATAACCAAATTAAATGATAGTCATTAAAGCAACTTTACATTATAAGAAAAATGGGCTGTTTTCGCGAAATCGCCACTTTAGCCCTGGGCGAAGACATAAATAACAACATCGAATTAAAATTTTATGCTAAATTGGATACTGCTTCGATTAAACTACTTTTACGTTTGAACATTAAAAAAAGACATTTATTTTTTAAACATTTTTATACCTGTACATATTATTTTCTCATTTGAAAACAAATTGCTCGAAATGTCATATTTGAGTTTTATTTGCTACTTTGAGAGAGCCGCCCTCGCTTCGCTTCGGAAACATTATTTTATTATTGATAGCTGAGTCCCGCGATGTTACCTGCGATTATTGTCAATTATCGGCGAAGCTAGTCTTAAAAACGTAACCTAAGTTACTCCTTATATCATCAGCTACCTATCAGTGAAAGTCCCGTCAAAATCGGTCTAGCCGTTCCAGAGATTAGCCGGAACAAACAGACAGACAGACAAAAATTGTAAAAAATGTTATTTTGGTGTATGTACCGTATATATATTCATATGCATGTAGTAAAAAGAGGCTATTTCAATATTACAAACAGACACTCCAATTTTATTTATTACATTACATATTACAGGTCACTGACCTCGTCGAGAACTTGAGTATATTATATAGCATGGGAAAATCATTAAATATATATATGACCGTGGATCTCAAGTACATTTCATGTTGTGGGTGGCCTTGAAACATTATTCTATACTTATAATGATTTAAGCTGTAAGCCAGCCCTATTTAAGCACACGTTTGTCGTTTTTTGTTCGTGTTCCATTAGTAATATAGTGTTATTACTGATATTTAGTTGGAATACAATAGGGGAAAAAATTAGAAGAAAGAAGATGAATATTAAACAGAAGAAAAAAAAAAAGCTACCGAAGTTTTTTTTTTATTGCTCTTGTAGGCAGACGAGCATACGGCCCACCTGATGGTGAGTGGTTACCGTCGCCCATGGACTTCAGCAATGCCAGGGGCAGAGCCAAGCCGCTGCCTACCGTTAAAGCTGGCCGATGACGAAACCCGCGCATCGTCAACATCAACCCCAATAATAATAATATGTTTTTTTTTTTTATGATTGAGAGATTACTGGTGGCCCGGAGGCCTTTCCAGCTTCACCAGGATATGTCTATGCTGTTGTCGTCGTGGCCTAAAGGATAAGACGTCTGGTGAATTCGTATCTACGATGCAACGGTGTTCGAATCCCGCAGGCGAGTACCAATTTTTCTAATGAAATACGCAAAATTATAATTTACGTAATTACTGGTGGTAGGACCTCTTGTGAGTTCGCACGGGTAGATACCACCACCCCGCCTATTTCTGCCGTGAAACAGTAGACCTTAGAACTTATATCTTAAGGTGGGTGGCGTATTTACGTTGTAGATGTATGTATGGGCTCCAGTAACCACTTAACACCAGGTGGGCTGTGAACTCGCCCATTCATCTAAGCAATAAAAAAAATGTATATATTTATCTTAACTCATACACCAACCCACTGGGTATGGAGATTCTGTTCGGGCAGAGGGGTTTTCCACGAGGCGCATTCCGTGCAACGTTAGAATCCAAAACAAACACTTTATTTTTACTAAATAGTTGTACTTCGTGTTCTTAATATCTCATGAAACTCGATGTAAAACGTGGCCGGATTTCACAAGTAATTTATTTAATACTAGCTGACTCGGCAGACTTCGTAGTGCCTCAATCGATAAGTAAAAGACACATCAAGGGGACACATCAAAGGAAAAACAAAATTGTTTGTTTTTATATAATTCCGAGCTTTTTTTATATTTTCTCACTTTTTAAACCTTCCCTGGACTTCCACGAATAATTCAAGACCAAAATTAGCCAAATCGGTCCAGTCGTTCTCGAGTTTTAGCGAGACTAACGAACAGCAATTCATTTTTATATATAGAGATTGTTGATGATAATGGTGTTCCCGCAAATAACAGAACTAATAACCTTTACAACCTCGTTTCGAGAGCATGAAATTAAATTACATGGAAACGTATTTGTACAATGTAGTTTGGGTGGAACATAAATAATTTGCGACATGCAAAAAACTCTTCATTCAACAGAGGTATCATTACCGGTAATGGCCCAAATGATAGCAAGAAAAATATTATTGTTATGCGCGTTTAAGCAATAGAGAAAACCTTTTGCAATTAAATGTGCTAAATTACCCGGTCTATACATATGTAATATTACGATTTACAGCACTGGTAATAGGTGATACCTAAGGCTGTATTGAGACTAAGACATAAGCAGTCAATTATTCTACCAGAAATATAATCGGCCCTCAGTCATTTCCGCTTCATAATTCTTTGAGCCATATCGTATACCTACCTAGGTTCGTGGAATATCTCAATTATTGATTCAATTTTGTATTGATGACGTGATTGATGGCTTACAAAGGTTTAAAATCCCACAAGATATGGGAGAAGAGTAACCTCACATGACACATACAAAGACAGGTCGTCACGCACGCTTGTAAGGGTAAGGCTACATGATGAAATAGTAAAAACTGTCACTTGAATGCCACGAGTTATTTCCTTGAAGAAAACTTACAACAAAACCATTCATTTGCTTACCAGACTGAACTGACCATTAGGTAAATAAAATCTCGTCACAGCGAGCCACAAAAATTATGTAACTACAACTATAACTATATTTTTTTGTCTAGGAATGTTTTGCATTAGGGTCTCTTTTCATATTCAAATTCAGGAATCTCTTAACCTAAATTTCAGCTAAGTACGACATATTTTCGTAATAAATCGGTAACATAATGTACGAGGGCGGGATGATAAGTAACTAGTCTCTACTATTTAAAAAGTTAAAATTTAAAAAATATATATGTCATTTTTAAATTCGTATCTCTAGCTACCTGTGTTCTAAATTTGAATTTGGTGGCGTGAAAATTTTATTAATTTTTTGTCATTTGAAAATATATTTCATCAAGTGTTTTCAAAATGGATAAAATTGAACAAAGAGCGGTGATAAAGTTTCTTCATATGAAGGGCATGAAGGGGAAAGATATCTATGACGTGTTAAATAATGCTTGAGGTGAATGTGCTGCTCCTTCTTATGCCACAGTAAAAAAGTGGGTAGCTGAGTTTAAGCGCGGTCGTACGTGTGTCCAAGATGAAGCCCGCCCCGGACGTCCAAAAAGCGTCACGACTCCGGAAATGGTCGTGAAAGTACATAATATGGCTTTAACAGATCGACGATTGAAGTTATCTGAAACAGCTGATACTATAGGTATCTCAAAAGACCGGGTACATTATATCCTAAGTGAGGAATTAAATATGAAAAAGTCATCGGCCCGTTGGGTGCCGCGATTGCTTACGCACGATCAAAAGAGGATTCGGGTGCAAAAGTCAAAAGAATGTCTGGACCGTTTTAGAGTAATAATGCCGATTTTTTACGTCGATTTGTAACAACAGATGAAACATGTGTTCGTTATTACACGCCAGAATAAAAAATTCAATCAAAACAGTGGACGCAATCGCGATGCCCGGCTCCAAAAAAGCCATGGCTGTAAAGTCGGCTGGAAAAGTGATGGCTTCCGTCTTTTGGGATGGAGATGGGATCTTGATGATAGATTACCTTCGTAAAGGTTAAATGATTAATGGAGAATACTACGCTAATCTTCTAGATAATTTTCATCAGTGTATTCAGCAAAAACGACCAGATTTGGCGAAAAAAAATCATCTTCCGCCAAGACAACGCTAGGGTTCACCACACATGTGTTAAAGCTATGGCAAAAATCAACGAATTGAAGTATGATTTGCTATCCCACCCACCTTATTCGCCTGATATAGCGCCATCAGACTTCCACTTATTCCCTAAGCTTAAAACTTTTTTGGGCGGACAGAAATTTGCTACAAATGATGAAGTCATAGCCGCTGTAGAGGAGTATTTTGCAGGCCTCGAAAGAAATAATTTTATGGAAGGCATTACTGCTTTAGAACGAAGATGGAATAAGTACGTAGAGGTTCACGGAGACTACGTCGAAAAATAAAATTAATTTTATCACGAAAAGTTAAGTGTTTTATTGTTAAGCTAGTTACTTATCATCCCGCCCTTGTATAAGTCATAATTCTCAAATTTATTGACTCAGAATTGATTACTACTAACCGACAGTGCCTCTCTTTGTAACCATTATCTTTCTTCCTCCCTCCTCCCTCATCGTTTTCTTGGTGAAACAATTAGAACGATTTAATACATTTACTTAAATTTCATTATTGAGATAATTAATTGCTTGAATTGATCAGTTTCACTTAACTAAAAATATGAATGAAACAGAACACCGTCGAGTAAATTATCCTTATTATTATTTCCTTAAATTACATTTTCTATTGTGTCTTGATCTCCAATTAAGTGTGCTAATTTGTAATCCTGGTTTTGTTTTAAAATTTTCCCGGCCTTTCGGAATAAACTATTTATGAATTATATTTTATTTATTTTCTTGGCGTAAATATAAATGTTTTAAATTTACATGATATTCAGTATTTGGGATTAGATTATACCAGATCAGGCAGATGTAGCAATAACGTATTTTATTAGGCAGGGTAGGGAAACAAGGCCATCTTTATCTTCTATGATCTTAGACTTACGCCTTAGCCTGCGGACAGCGTTCATGCCTGAATGAAATAAGATTGATGACTGAGAAACTTATTGTCATTTCTGCATCTTTGTCACATACAGATTGAAAAGAAAGGCAAAACCGGTTCACGACATAATTAAAAACTGTACAAATATTAAGGAAACAAGTAGGTAGTAGCAACGCAAAATTAGTACCGACTTCTCATTAAAAACAAGCGAGCTTCGTTGCGTCCTACATTATTTCTACAAGAATCGTTTCTTGAAAATACGAATGATTTCAAAATGTACCAAAACAAAAATTCGTAAAGGCTCTCCTCCGTTGCGCAAGAATTCTTTTAAACAGAAACGTGCCTTGTTAAAACCAAGTGTCGTGAAAAACTAACCGTTTGTTTTGTTCCCGTTTACAGTTTCATTCGGTTTCGTGTTTTATATTCCGACTTCCATTAAAGTAATGAATGGAGCGTTTTGTTTATTACAAAGTATGTGTTTATTGCGGCGTTATCGTTCAAGCCTTGAAACGTTTATGTGGTTTTGTTTTATGATGTAAAACATCTATTTCAATTTTATGATTTTGATTTAAATATGAAGGTATGTAATTATTTCAGTTAAGGTATTAAGAGACTTTTTGGCGGGAACGCGAGGAATGAAGTTGTGTGATTTGTTTTATTTTGTCTATTTAGTGTTTCTTCAGGTTTAAATGTGTGATAATGGTGGTTTATTAACTGTTTAATATCTGTGAAAGTGCACAAATGTGGGAAAATGAAACAAAGCCGCTGGACGTAGCTTCTCGGGATCCTCCAAAAAGTCTACTGAAAAAATCTTAGTAAATGACCACCATTTTACTGAGATTATATTTCATCCCATATCATCTCATTTCATTTCATTTCATCCCAATTGGTTAATGTCTCAAATTAATCATCTTCATTTCATTTCACTCCATAATATCATTTTTCATAAAAATATGAATATAAATTAAAATAAGACATGACTTAAAGGTCTTAGTTACCAGGTCATAAAATCCCTTAAAAAAAAAGGTATTAAGAAGTTGTAACCAACATGCAACCGAAAGCAGTTCAGTAGTATATTTCGCATGCTAACTAATTTAGTTCTGCATTTTTTTAAATATATGTAATGTTTTTCTTTATCTATACATATAAATAAAATTAGAGTGCCTGTTTGTAATATTGAAATAACCGCTTTTTACTACACGAATATGAATATATATACGGTACATACACCAAAATAACATTTTTTACAATTTTTGTCTGTCTGTTTGTTCCGGCTAGTATCTGGAACGGATGGACCGATTTTGACGAGACTTTCACTGATAGCTAGCTGATGATATAAGGAGTAACTTAGGCTTCTTTTTTTAGACTAGCTTCGCCGGCTGCCCCGTATTATTCGTGATACAGCACAAATATTATTATAAATATACCAGAAAGTAGTACATAAAGAAATTAAATACATGTATATATAATTCAAGCCTTCGCAGCTACTAATACTACAAATACCCACAGATAAAAAGTAAATTTATTGATTGAACAAATAAATTTTTTAACAGTCTAGAAGTTTCATTGGAATTATTACCTGAAATCCGTCGTAGGTCCAAGACGCCCATTTCATGGTACAGAGTTGCACATCAAAAGGGAACTGCTCCACATTGATATCGCATACAGACACATAAATCCCATGACTCAGCCAGGTCACTTCGCCAGTGTACTTAACTATTACGTTCGTATTAATAACCGCTGAACGATAGTTTGGATCCGCACTGAAACAATACAAATATATTTACTCCTATGAAGTAATAACGAGATGAATAAAGCTTAAACCAGTTCCATAGACCTAATTGATTTACGATTGGAAACGAATCCCACCAACCAACCAACCTCAGACGGCTATAAGAAGAAAAACAGAGACAGAGGAACAGGAGAGGAGTTCGAGATGTCGAATTAATTTTAATTCATAAAAAAGAAAACGCTGTTACTTACATAATTAATATTTGTTCGAGTTCGTGACATAAATTTTTGAGCACCTACTTTTTGGCACTCCGAAGTTATTTGTTTATGAGTGAGTTTATATATATAAGACAGGCACCCGCCTTCACAGGGTGTTGGACCTGCTTTTCTACCATACCCTCCGTCATAGTGGTCACAGACCACGGCAGAGACCTTTTATACTTTCATTCTTTCGTTCCATGTCTTCATTCACACTTCAACACTTCACTCTTAATACTTTTATTTCATCCTTCTTTTCTATGATCTACAGGTGGGGCTACTTTATTATTTACTACTAACGAGCACTATTTTCTATACAAGCTAACACAATTACACTTCTAATTTCTTACATTGTACTTTCTTACTATCTAAGTTCTTACTTTTTATTGCTTATATACGAATATTTAAATCTTATCTACAATTAATATGTTACAATTTTTAATTTACTACATTATTTACTTACACATCTATTATACCCCTAGTTTGTTAGTCTTAATACTATGTAGTCATAATATACTTAATATATTTGGCCCTCATAGTCAGGTTTTCTACTTATTTCTATTTATTGTTTTTCTACAGATTTGCCTACCATAATCTAGGAATATGTCTCTCTCACTGTCTTCCATTATATTACATATATTTTGTAACGAGATTTCTTTGCCGAGTTGGTTTACTTCACATTATTAATGATATTCGCAGACAGCTCTGCCGAAATTTACTGCATTTTGTGACAAATGAACGTTTTGTGATAATAATTATTATATTCTAAACATGACCCATTTTTGCAAAAAAAAGGAACAGATTTCCATTTTACTAAAATCGTTTCAAGCTAAAAAATCTTTTAGGAAACCGAAAATTATTTTTTATTTCAACTGGAAATTACTTTTCTTCTCTAAAATATCAAACTTTTTTTGCCTAACATTTCGTAATGGAAACATTTTTTTGGCCAAGAAAAAAGAATTGAAAAGAAACTGTAGGTATTTCCGTCAATTTAAGATCTTCCGTCGCGATGCTTCTAAATGTTTGATTAATAGCAGTGTTATTTTGTAGCTATAATGAAAATTTCTGCTTTGACTTTATAGTTATCACCATTTATTTTAAAGCTTACAACCATTAAATTGTAAGAAAATGATGACGTAAATTCCAGTGTCTATGTCACCATCTAACGAGAATGCTATTACGAGAAACGAATTTATCTATCTCAGTTCGTAACTTAATTACAAAAAACGTTAACAACATTAAAGTTATTTAAAAACAAATGACACAATATTAAATTTATATCTAAATTTTTTATGTTACTTCGATTGGACCATGTTGTTATAATTACCTTTTTTGACAAATTTTTGAACAGTCCGTCGAGCTAAATTCTAGGTTTCATTCAAATTAGCTTTTCTTTTTCTTTGCTCATAATGGATAAATGACTGGAAAGCTCACTTAGTGTTAAGTGGTTAGTGAGGCCAATGGACATCAGATCGTGAATGTTGCTAACTGCCTATAAACTTGAGATCTAAGTCTCAACGAATTTGTCGTAAAAACTGTTCCAAGCCAGCGCACGTCAGTAGCACAAACCTTTTTTTCATTCTTAATCATTGCTAGCCTAAAGGACTATTCCAACTACGCATGGACAGGTATGTGGGCTCACGGCGCTCAACTTGAGAGAACTTACTAATACTAGCTATAGCAAGAGCAATTCCGCTGAATCTATCACAGACATCGCAATCGCGATCCACTGAGAAGATCCGGCGAGAAACTCAGTGGGTTGTGTCTATAGGGTACATACCCTCGCGGGCTTACAATACGTCTGGCTCCCAGTTAGGTTTTCATAAAAAATCAATCCAGTCAAACAAGATTACTTTCCGGTGGATTCAAACTTTTGCGGAACATTCCACATATTGAAATTGTCCAATATATTTTCAGTACGCTACGCTACACAGGTGCGAAAATTCCAAAGGATTTTATTGTTTTTTTTTTTACGAATCACAAATGCGAATTAACAAAAATGTTTTTTATTGCATTAATGGGTGAAGATGGATCGTGTAGTGTTAAGTGGGTCCGGAGCCCATTGAAATCACTCGAATACCACAACCTACCTTGTAACATGAGGTCTATCTCGAGTAATTAAGCATTTAATTTGCGGTTAAAATTTTTATTGTGCACATAAATCAAGTACATCATATTCATTAGATAAATTAGTATCTACCCGCGGGATTTAAAAGTCGGCATTGTCGCATCGCTCGGTATGAAGCGTCTTCTCGTTTAGGCCACGTCATCTCTGAATTAACTATATAGTTCTAATAAATTAGTACATATTTATAGGTATTTTTACGAAATGCTAACCATTTCAATGATTTACTGAAACTTTTAACTTCTAGTAGTCTATGGTTATTTTCAAATGTGTTACATTGAATGCAATCTAGAAAACATAGTACAATCTATTTCGAAAGTAATCTTTTAGTGGTGTCGTCCTAGAAATCCCTAGCACTATGGCTTATCTCCCTTTTTTTACACGGTCCAAATAATACACCATGTATTTGTTTCAACGGTCAGAAGACCGATCATGAAAGGATTCTAATCTACTAAAAATCAGAATACACTGTACACTTTCTCAGCCATTTCGATCTATAATAACTGCTCCCGATTTGATAGTGTTGTAGTGTTCTCTAATAACCTTTTTTAAACCCTTCTACTAATTCCTAACCAGGCTAACTGTTATAAGTGCTGTGGTCGTATAATTGCAAGCCAAATCAAATCAATGAGAATGCACTTTGTCAAACATTACAGAGCTTACTTGCCGCGCAGTAATAGAAAATTTTTGTCATCATTTACAGGAACGAAATTGAGCACATTTCGATGAAGTAATTTTTGAAAAATAATTTCTCTTTATGTATTATGATTGTTGAATACCACATGATAAAAAATCATACTGTACATAGTTTTGGTTTTATTTTTTAGTTCCAAGCACCCTGTATCTTCCCTGTATCTACCCTGTATCATCTTTAATTACTTATCAGACGTATAGGCCAGTGAGCTCGCTGCGCACCTGGTGCTAAATTGGTACCGGAGCCCTACCTACTTACTCTAAGTTATTACAAAACAATGAATGACAATGAATAACTCTTAGTTACGCCGTTAAAATATTCAGGATATGACGGTTTCCAGCAAAAACACTTTTACGGTGATGGATTGATCACGTAAAATAACTGTGAATATTGGAATCTACAAATGTCTCAATATCCATTTCACTCATCTCAAACATGTTTTAGAAATTCAAATATTATCTCTCTGCGTAAAACGTATCGGCATTGCTGAGCGAAAATACATACGAATAAGAAATTGCGCCAGTAAAAATGAATACGATGTATAACTGAAAATAAAAAAAATACAGTGCTATTGCGGTTTTACTTACTTGTTATACAAAATAATGTCTGGTCTCCAGACCCTCTCGTATGGTATTCGAATGACGCTGATACCGTCGAAGTCACTAGTGTTCCATCGCAAATGAAAATCCGTCCATATTTGCGTAATCCAGCAGTTTGTTGTTAACAGCTGATCTTTCTCCTCCTGGCGAACGAATATCTCAACTATAATATTAATAATAAACATAATTAAAAGAATTTCTAGGCATTAAAGTCGCGTTTTATTATTATTATAATATAATATTATTATTTCCAATGATTCATGTCGATGCACGGACATCGACGATCGCGCGGCTCGGGCGCCGGGAGGAAGACAGCGGCGCGGGGTAGCGGATTGACACCGGCTTCGTCACTTCATGCAGCAACGCCGCCCGCGACACTTACTTGTTTTTCATCTTGTTTTACTCTTTTTATAAACTTACCAAATAATACAGTCCACTCTTTTATTTTATATATCACCGGTCTACCCCAGAGCAGTTCGAAACAATTCAAATACTTTGCAACTGTAGATTAGACTTTAGACTCTTCGTCGAGAGTAACCAGTAAACGTAGTTCTTATTATAATTATAATCATTTAAAAAGTCGAACCAACAACGGAAATTTTCAAAGTCATAAGACCTTGCCATCATATTAAATACGGTGTGCTGATAAGGTAATACCCTCACTAGTATTCTTATAGTTTGAAATAGGCAATTTATTAGACATGCCTTATCAGAAAGTGTACTACAACTTGAATATTTTATCTATTGAAATCAAAATACAAACAGATTATCAAACTAATACAAATTTTTCTTTTAGTCGTATTTCATGTATAAGTCATTTCCACTGTACTACATTCAATTATATTTGAGAATCATCCTATTATTTAAGCCTTCGTCATTATCATCATCAACCTACAAGCATCAAGACATTAGCCTCCCCCAAACTTTGCCATACTATCTAGCCTTACACTGCCCTCTTTCAGCAGTTCCCCGCAACTTTCAATTTGTCGGCGGTTCACTTTGTGGGTGCATAGCCCACGCGGCTTCATCAGTCGGAGAAGAATCCGTACCTAATATTAAGAAGAATGATGTTTATCAAGCAAAAACGTAGGTATAGTATTGACCAATGAATTCTACGATGAAGGAATAACATTGTGTTTTATAAATCAAATCTGATGTGACGTAAATAATGGTGGTAAGCTTTTGTGAGCCCGCATGATGCTGTAAACTACACAAAGACTAAGCATCCCGTTTTGAAATAAAAAATTGGCAAGGACAAAAGAACGTCTAAAAATACAAAGAAATTTGTTAATCGTTCGAAATGAATGAAATCATTCTATTAGGCGGTAGGTTTATTTAAGTTACAAAGAACGGATACTATTACCACGAATGACGTCATATCGTTAGTATGCCGGCGTGTGACAGAGATAGTGCGATGCTTCATCTTTTTTTCAGTCACGAAGCGTATTATTAAACTTGGTTGATGGAAATTAGGTTTGATACCCAAGTTTAATTTACTTAGAGCTTACAAAGGTTTTTGTACTGACGATCTCATTATTTGTTCGCCATGTGAGGATCTTTTGAACCCAAGTGAATAAGATTTGCTTTATTGTAGTCTCACTTAGATTAAGTTTGGAAAATCTAATTTTATGAAACGATTAGAAAAGGAGTTCTACCCGAATCGTCAGGACCAATCAGGTTATAGGCATCTTTGTTCTGCTAAAGTTTCGTGACACTAAATTATACATATAAATGCCATAGCTAAATTAATTAAGAATGTTTGACGAGTTCCATCCATGTTTAATGTATGGTTGTTGCAACTGGATTGTTTATCAAAATATTATTCCCAATAAGCGAAGATGACAATTTGTACTGCCTACCGAAGCAGCACGTGAAGTTTTCTTTTACTGCCATTGTAGACAGACAGGCAGAGGCGGATTATCCGTAAGGCAAACCTAGGCACGTGCCTAGGGGCGTGTAGTTACAAGGGGCGCGCGAGCTCAGAATTTTTAAATAAATAAAGAAAATAACATATCGACGATTAAGAACTAAATGCTGATCTATAATCTAAATCTTATATAAGATATATAAAAAGGAATTGCAGTTCGTTAGTCTCGCTAAAACTCGAGAACGGTTGGACCGATTTAGCTAATTTTGGTCTTGAATTATTTGTGGAAGTCCAGAGAAGGTTTAAAAGGGAGATAAATATGAACATACTCGGAATTAAACAAAAATAACAATTTTGTTTTTCCTCTAATGTGTCCCCCGTCGGACGGATTCCTTTTGTTTGTTTTAAGTTTATTTTATAAAAAAGTTTAGGTCTTTTATTTATCGATTGAGGCACTACGAAGTCTACCGGGTCAGCTAGTCTATAATAGATTATATTGCACAAGCATCGATATACTCGTATTATGCAATATTACGGATTTGTTTGTATTTCATAAGCGCATTAGCGTAAGTGCAACGGTCCCGGTCTTCTAAAGTCTAAGGTTTGCTGATACAACGTCATCGTAATTGCAAAAACAACTAGTTAAAATTTATAGTATTATGATGGCCATTTATGGCCGGTACAGGGGCGCCGATAAAGTGATTGCCTAGGGCGCTCTGGACCGCCACTGCAGACAGACGTACGGTCCACCTGTAGCAACGACTTCAGCAACAGACGGACACAGCCGAGCCGCTGTCTAACGATGAGGAGTACGTGATTGTGTATGTGTGTGTTGCACAATTATCTTTTTTTACAAATTAACCCGAGCTCAATGACGTGTCAACGCATAAATCACGAACTGGTAATATACGTATAATATAACTAGCTGTACCCGACCGCTTCGCTTGGCATTTAAAATTAGCATTGTTATTTCTCACCCCCACAAAGATTCTCATCATTAACGCCCCCGCAACTGGTGTAGGGAGTCCAACACTCATATAAATATTAGCCTATCAATTAAGTACATGTATTTTCTACATGGATACCAAGTTTCAAGTCAATCGGATGCATGGTTCAGTAGTTATAACGGACCATCCGTAAAAACCACTGTAGATTTATGTATTAGTATAGATATAAATATATTACTTACTAAATACTTCATGATACAATATAAAATATGTGTAAAGGTGCAATATTGAATCCAAATTCCAAAACAAAAAAATATTTCATTACAATTTTCGCTTTTTTTATCACAACAATACTTGGCATTTCTTTTTGATTTAAAAGAGATTAGTCTTTTTTAATTATTTATTTTGACGAGCGAATTCATTACGTTATTAGTAAATTAGAGAGTAAATTGCATTCAATTCTCATTTTATTTTATTAGTTTTATTAGAAACAAATTGTGTTAGGTGACAAATATCAAATGGATTAATCAGTAGACTGAAATGACGCGCGGTACATTTCTATTATTTGGAAGTTTTAATCGCATAAAATAGCACCTACTATCCATACAGCCCATTCAGAGTTCGTGAATGAGTTGACTAAAAAATAATATCGAGCTGAGAGCATATGAATGCATTTCACTTCCACATATCCATTGTGCTAGTTATAATGAGGTATTCTTTCATTTTATAATTTTTCCATTCATTCTTTAAATCCCTTAACCCGTATTTGTCTATTCATGAACGTTAGGTTTGACGCGTAGGCGTTCTTCATGGAAATGAAGATTAAAGTTATTTTTAGACGCAAACTGAGCAGGTTACGCTAATTACATTCAATACCTTAAAACTTCTTTTTACTGCTGTACAATACAACATTATCTTATATAACATCCTCATTTTTATAACAGCTTGTGCATTAAAAAAAACTGTATTGTTTAGGCTGTAGTAATAATAAAATTTTCTTTGACTTTCCTAGCCTATCGATTTTAAATCGTAAATTAAAATGCAATGGGAGTTTTTAGTATGAGCATTTATATCATTATAATTATAGCTTCCACTAACCTTCTAACAACAGGTTGGTAGATAACTCTTTTAGCAATCTACAATAATTAAAATAAAATCGATACGCGCGGTTGCTTCGCGACAGGAATAAGGAAGTGAAAACCGATCTACACCGACTCTCAACAAGCTCTATAAGTCGCTAATCAATTACACGATTTCAAAATCAAAAAGAAACAAACAATGCGCTCGTAACAAGATATTTCTTTTAAAATTAAAATTCATAATTAATAACGGACCGCTTATTTAGTAAAATTGAACACAGACCTAAATTAAAACACAAAAAAAAGCTAAATTGAGCTTTAAAAACTGTTTAAATTGCCATCGCGATAAAACGATTTTTTTTAGGAGACAAACATCTTGGAATTAAAATGATTTCGACATCCCGCAAAACGACCGGTCGAAGACGGTGTGACGGGGGGGGCGCTCGTGAAAATAATTACTTTACAAATTAAATAAGTCCCTCACCTTAACTGTCTTGTACAATCGAATGTTCTGTTCGTATACCGAGTGATACGGGTCGACTTTTTAAAGAAATAAGTATACGCGGTATTGATGCTTGGGAGACAACGGCTTGCAATACATTTTTCCTTGGTCAACGAATCTGAAGGGTTTTTGTTGTTGTTGTTTTATTTTGTCAGAGCAGATTTTTGTGTCCTATCCTTGGCATTTTATTGTATATTTAGAATGATTATCTCAGCTTGAACCAGTTTAAATATTATAAGTATTTCTAACATTTCTTTTAAACCCAATTCATTTTATATTTCGTTCCAGCTTTTCTTCCTGCATATTATATTCGGTTTTAATTTACTTATTTCATAAAAAATTTTTTCATATCTTATCTCCAAATTGTGCTCTAGCAATTCCAAAAGTCGTATATATTAGCGATTCTCAATATGATGAACATTTAAAAGCTGGCTAAAATATTAGTTAATTGTATTATGAATGAATTATGTAATCTGTATCACAGATATCTGGAGGATTAGCACGAAATATTTAGGTATACAGCATGGGTAAGAACGGAACATATGAAATGACTGTGGAACGTAGCATTAAGGTGCGAATGAGAGAAAACGATAAAAAGGGAGAAAATCATAACAAGGAAAAAACAAGATGGCGAGGACGATTGCATGAGCGAGGTGTAAAATAGTTGTCAGTTAATTTTAAGTTATATTAATAGGGTAAATTTTAAAAGGGATAATGGTACTTACTTCAATCGTGAATCAATTTTATTTTATGCGCCACGATCCTAATTCTACAGGTATATGGATAAAGTATAAAGTGAAGCTCTCTCAAAGGAAATTTCACTGAAATGTGCTCGTAACCTTGCACTGAATGCATACATAATTGTTTTTTGAGTTCAGGGGCAGCTGGCTGATCGGCCTTTCTGTTTCGTCTAGTTTAGAAGAATCCATTTTTGTTAATTTATAAAAAACAAAAAAAATACAAAAAAATAGTGCTTTTTTATTACATATAGACCACGATTTAGATTACTATAGACCATGGTATAAGACCACGGCCACCTAGGTTTTTTTTATGGAGGAATGCATAGGTACTGGTAGCCCAGAGACCTTCACCAGGACCGGGCGAGCAAAGGTTCAGCCAGGAGGAGTGGGATTTGCTAACAGATGCCCGAGCGTTCGAAAGAGACCTAACAGCTCATGTACAGCTGCTTCGCGAATGCATCTACTACCGGATCGGAATCGCGATCAGTTGAGAAGCTCCGGTGAGAAGCTCAGGGGACGACTACCTAGTGTTAATTGAATACAAGGGTCTTTATACGACAAATGAACGCCGCCAGCATCCTGAGAAACGAGATGATTGCAATTGTATTGAACATACATTTTATATATTAATTAGATGGGTGGACGAGCTCACGGCTCACCTGATATTAGGTGATTACCGAAACCCATAGACATCTACAACATAAATTCCGCTACCCACGCTGAGATATGTGTTCTAAGTCTCAGTTTTAATAGCACAACGGTGTCCTATCCTTGAAACCAGAACACAACTGCATCACGACAGAAATAGGCCGATACCTACCTAAATACCTACCTAACCATATGTAAGCCCCAATAATAATACTTATGGTGTGTTCAAATATATTCGCATTAAATAGTAACAGAAAGTATTGTGTCTCTTATGATATACCTACATCGCTCCAAATAACATAAGTTTATTTTTGATACGGTAAGAATTCTTAGCAAAAATTCAAACAACATTTTTATTGAAAAAAACCAACGTATTGTATGAAGGGTAAATGGAAATAGTTACGTAGTCGTAGAATCGTGATTTAATCCCAAATGCTACGTACCTGTGAAATCAAATAAAGTGTTCGAATCGAGAAGGAAATTTCCACCCTCCTCTGCCTACTAACATTTATTCAAACGCCATAATATATACGTAAGCGTTCACTTGTTACCGTGATGTGAAATATCATTCCTCTTTGCTCAAGTTGCTCAGAGCGTGGACTGTATTTTTGTGTGCTAGCTTCAATAAAAACTAGATTCAGAGCAATTCTTATTTATTTCTTAATTTACAACACGTGCACGACCAGAATTTTTGTGCTACTGCAACTTTCATCTTTGTTGCCATACTTATTTGTGTGTTCCCACATTTAAAAATGATCATATTTTATAAAATTTTATGTTTAGGATTGCCCTAAATACAAGTCACTTGAAACACACAGTGACTTTGCTGGTTTAAATGTAATTTATAAGATTTTTGTATTGCTTACCTAATTCGCCACTAGCGATCGATAGAGCGATATACTTTAATTTACATGGAAACCCAACATTACTAACATTGGTGATATTAAATTTGTCATGATTTTCTCTCGAAACTTTTCGTAAAACTTCCCCTGTTTATTTACTACTTTATTAAAACGTTACCCACAGAAATTTAATCGTGAGTCTTGCTATATTGTTTGTATAAGAACCAACTCTGAACCGCCTTTTTCTCACATAATTAGTCCAAGCCTATGGGCTGTTTTAATTTTACTTTCGTGGCCTAAGAAGTTTTATATTCACTGTTCGAGAAAATAGTAACAATATAGTAGGACCAACATGAAAATTTTGTACTAGACGATTTAACTTTTTAATTTAATTAGTGCCAGCAACAGGTATTTTAAGTCATAATGTTTTAAGCACATTAGTTAACATTAACTTTAGTTATAATAATATTAAATACCAGAGAATGGGAGAGAAAATTTAGCTGTGCCGGCCCCACCTAGTGGAATATGGTGGAGAAAAAGAAGAGGTTAACATTAACTTTAGTTAGTTTATTTCCTCCGAAGATAATAAGTCAAACTAACACATACCACATCGATGATATGATGAAGTGAAACTCCAAATGTCACAAGGAGAGGATGCGAAGAGTTCTCCACGGGCCGAACTGATGCATCATACTTTTGCATGAGGTGACGAACTAATCTGTACTCCTCATCGCAACATAAGGAATCTGCAAAAAAAGTATTATAATTAGTTCCGAAGTCTTACCAAAATTAGTTATTTATTTTACTCATACCGCTATAATAAACAAAAACATGACATAAAGAAACGAATTAACTTATTATTTTTTTACAAAAGTGAATCTATCGATCGGTGTAAGATTAAACATATCTTATTTGCTTACATATTCATTTTTAAAAAAACATATTGAATTAATTATGTTTTCATCCCACCAAAGGACCGCAACAAATATGAAAACAAGTAATCGTTTTAAAATAACATTTTGAATACGACATTTTTCTGCCTCTGCAATACAAAAAAAAAGCGGGAACCACAATACAAATGAAAGCACTCCACAACAATGAATAAACAAAAACGCGACTTCCATTATAAATCGCCGGTTGCGAAATACATCGAAATATAATATAGAAAGTACAGGAACTCCGCACACACCATGAAAGCCGAGATTAACTGCCAATTTTCGCACAAAGGACAAATTGATAGATATCTGCAAGTATGTACATCTGAACGGAAGCCAATTTATTTCTGAAGGCCTAACGTATTTGTTGTACTGTGTCAATAACGGTCCGTGCGTGGATGTAAGAAGGACAGGACTAAGGGTCCAATGGAATACTATTGGAAACTTTGTGACGAGCTCAGGAAATGCTGCCTAATCAAAATATCTCCTTTAGTTTGGTTCAAATTGATAATTCTTTTGGATTCTCTTTTTATTTTATGTATCTCTTTTATGATTTAAAATGGCTGTGCTATTGTTTCCTAACTCACAGGTGCCACTGAGCAGATAGATTAATCACAATTTTAAACGTGTCACTAAGAATATTATTATAATAACATTCATAAGTGTGAGGAAAAATGCTGTCATATTTTTGTAATTACCACAAAATACAATCGTTTGACATACAAAATTCCATCAAAGATTCGTTAAACAGCACTCACTTACGCACGCAACATTCACTTAATCTGCATCCATTTTTAGTTTTGTAAAAATTTTGCTAATTCCCATTTCAGCCGAAGAAGATTGCTTTTTGGTAGAAACAGGCAAAACGATGTCACCAACCTTATATATGTGAGCTCAATCTGCCCTAGTAATTTTTTTTTAAATAGAAATTTGGAAGAGGTTGGTAGTTTTTTTTCATTGCTTAGCTGGGAGGATGAGCTCACCAGTTACCGGAACCCATAGACATCTACAACATAAATTCTGCTACTCACGCTGAGATGTGAGTTCTAAGTCTCAGTTTTAATAGCACAACGGTGTCCTGTCCTTGAAACCGGAACACAAGTGCTTTACGGCAGAAATAGGCAGTTTCCTCAGCATACGTAAGCCCCAACAGTAATACTTACGGTGTGTTCAAATATATTCGCATTAAAAAGTAGCATAAAATATTGTGTCGTAGTGGTAGAAACTCAAAGAAGTAACTAATGCCAGAAAAGCTTATATATCTTTTATTTTCTAGCTTACTACTTTTGTTACTAGCATGAATAGATTAAATTTTCATAGAACATTTGAAAGCTATAATCAAAAAAGAACATAAAAACAGACACCATATCAGTATAGGTAATCAATTTGCTAACCAACGCAAATATGTTTTCCGTGTTCACACAATGACAGGGAAATTTATTAGGAAAGGTACACAAAAAATCACTTTCGGATAATAAGAATCCTTTCAAACATTAATAAAGAACAACGTTAGCAAAGGACGACATATAAATATGAAAGAAGATCGGTCTTAAAAAGTTTTTGGAAAGAAGTTCCTTATGGGACGATGCGGAGGGGTACCCTAACCGGGAAAAAACGTCCGTAACGTAAGATTTTTATTAGTTATGCACACAGTGTACGACTTAACTTTGTAATAACGTACAAAAAATAACATATTTTTTATCATTCATTGACCACGATCTCAGAGCGTTCATTTGCGCAATACACTAACTCTTATGCAAACAACCATGAATGAAGTGTACCACAATAAGTTCCCACGATACCGAATGGCCATGGTCTGTTGCGAAACCTCCAGTTTTATTTTCTTTATACCTCGAATAGAACTTAAAATTAATATTTTTATAATAAGGAACTTCGTTCTTATCCGGTGTCCCACGACACCACACATCTTTTTTATTTTATTTATTGATTTAGCTCCGTTTTGAGTACATGAATGGATTTTTATAGTATTTTGCAGACTTGAGTTAGTAGTGGAACAAGTGAATGACATAGTACCGATTGCAGCCGAAATGATAACCACTTCCTTCGATTTTTGCGGAACATAAGCATAGTTATAGCTTTAGCTTATATGAGTCGACTATTATCAAAGCCGGCAATCTGACTTTTGGACAATGATTGGTAAATCAGAAAAACGAATTATTGACTTTGTATTCCATTGGCAGTCACAAAACTCTTCGGAACGACATCTTAGATAAATAACAGGTTAACTATTAACCTTTATTTAATGCAGGTTTTGAACCGTATTCTTTGAAGGAGACGATTATATTCNTTCCATTGGCAGTCACAAAACTCTTCGGAACGACATCTTAGATAAATAACAGGTTAACTATTAACCTTTATTTAATGCAGGTTTTGAACCGTATTCTTTGAAGGAGACGATTATATTCAAATCAATCTGAATTGACATATCAATAAAAATTTTTTGTCCAAATGCACAGATTGCCACCTTTGATAATAGACGACTCATATAGTTTATTCTCGCGTTTTTATTATTTATTTTCGCTATATGATGTACCAAATTTCAAATAATTGACAGATTTAATCAATAATAATTCTTGAAATAATAACATTATTCATATGGAAGGCTTAACGTATTAGATGGTTTAAGTACATCGTGTTATATTATTTTGAGTATGTATCACTAACATGTAATCAACTTTTAAATCTTCACTATTTCAAAGTGTCATTTAATTTAATTAAATTCAATAGTATTTCAGACTTTAAATAGACAGAACAAAACGAAACGAATCCAAAGACTTTTCCATTTTTGCATTAAAGTTGTCTTATATATCCGTAAGCTGGAAGTTTAAGGCTTCGTTATTTCAAATGTCAGGCGCAGATAACAAATCGCCTTGACCCGCGGTCGCCAACGTCAGCTAGGACAAACGAGCCACGAGCTGTCATCGCTTTATAATTATTTAACTCGCCTGCCATAACTTCATCCAAGTTTCAATTCGTTCTCGAACTGCTGATTCCTTCCATTTGCCCCAACGCTAAGCTGTGTAAATAGGTGGAAATCGATGCAATCAAACAAACTTCATAAGAATTTATTCTTTTAGATTTTTAGTTTTACATATATCGGCGCTATTGTTAATGTATGCATAATACCTATTTCTTAAAAGTACTTGCGTGTCACCAGTGGATCTTTAACAATTGCACGTTTTCCAATCACGTGCCAACAATGGAACAAGATTACAATTGAATAAAGAACGCCTAAACGATCACGAACAAGCAAACATGGAAACTAACATGTACATATTATTATGTATGTCAGATGTACACATGTATGTTAATTGTAATTAAAACTTACACGACTTAAAACTCGAAAGTACTGTCATATATTTTTTTTTTTTTTTATTGCCTTGGTAGGCAGACGAGCATACGGCCCACCTGATGGTGAGTGGTTACCGTCGCCCATAGACTTCAGCAATGCCAAGGGCAGAGCCAAGCCGCTGCCTACCGCAACATATATAAGCAGTAATGCAATTATTTAAAATAACGAATTATTACTGCACTTTCCTTTTCTTTTAATAACGGTAACTGGTTATACAATTTAATTTTTTTGGAAAAAAAAATACAAAATATGATAGGACTTGGAAGGAAGGACTTGTCCTTAATGAAAAATAACTTCTTCATAAAATTGATTACAAAGGTCCTTTAAAGAGAACCACCTATTTACAAAGTAAATTATTGGAACAAGGAAATGTTATCAAGAGTTAATTGCTAGAACGTAGACACTACTACATTGAAACCTGTCTGGAAACTAAGCCCTCTCACAATATTTGCACTGATTATTATACAAATATAGATTAGATGAGATATTTGTTTCAGCTGTCATGGAAGTTATGATAGCTCCCGAGACAATATCGTTTTAATCAATCTTAATATTATTATAAATTAATATTTTATTATTAATCATACAAATTATTCATTTGGGTACAATCTAAATAGAAAACCTCATAGATCGCTTCATTATTTACATCATATCATAGTTTTACTTTATAGTAGACGAATCAGAAATTTAAGTTGAGCCAATGGTAAATTCCCATTATTTTGTTTAAATCATTGTATCAAAATATGCAAAATATTTAAAAAACAAAACAAAACTTTTAAATAGTCGAAGGACGTTTTCCATCTTTATTAAAAGTTTTACAGAAACAAATAAGCAAGGGGTTTGTATACGCGAAAACTTTTTATCTTAGTGATTGGATTCAAAAAATCAAACAAGCAAGCTTATAAAAGTTAGAGCCGCTCATAAAGTTAGCTTCTAGCGAAACTTTTGGTGAACTCATTTGAAATTCCCTTATTTAGCTGCCTGTTCTACTGTCAAAGACGAAAGCAACTAAATATTGAATGAGATACGTTCCATTATAAACTACAACCTATAAAAGTGGAGCTGATAATTTTTTTAATAAATACTTATAGTATACACGTATGATAAATATTGTGACCTATAAAATATGACTGTGGATTTGTGTTTTTTTTTATCAATAGATAAATGGACTCATTGTTGACCTTATGCTAAGTGCTACCGGAGCCCATAGATATCACAATGTTAATGCAATGGGTGGCTACACCCATCTGAAGACTAAATCTCATTTGAATTGCGTAACGGCTGTCTCACCCAGCAAATTGAAACCCAAGACTACGGCAGAACTTACTTCGAGGCAGAAATATATAGATTGGTGATGTGGATTTATAATATTATTATGCCCTACCACCGGTAACGAAGTAAGTAATTATTATTCGGCATCTAGGCGGGCTTTGGATAG